CATCGGCCGTCAGGGCGGCAGCTTGCTGTGACTCCCTTACTTCCCCACTCCCGCACTTACGGCCGTGATTTGTTTTGGAGACCTCGTGGTGCCAAAACGCGTCGTCGCTTCTCAAGGCGGTTTTCGTTATCTTTCCTCTTACTGTTCGGGCTGTGAATAGGTGGGAAACGCACGGTGCCGAGAGGCCTGGGTTGCTCTGGTATCTTCCACTGCTGCTGCTCGACCTTTCTCAGTGATGCCATATATTGCATTGGCATTTCTTTCACCCTGTTATTAAGCGGGAAATGCTTTATTCAGTTGCACTGTTTTCTCTTGCTGGCAGCAACAGCAGCAAGTACTTTGTACTGCTCTTCCTAGATGAAAAAAAAAAAAGAGTTTACAATATATTTTCTTTTATTGCAGCCTTTTAAATTAAGATCCTTGTTTTGCTGTATTGCTTATGTAGATGAGCAAGACTTTCTATATTGTAGTAGCATAGGCGTCAGTAGTTTTGATTCCTCAGCCATAAGAAGAGAAAATTTCACTTGCCTGTTAGGGAATTTTGACACCTAAAATGACAACCATTTTAACAAATCTGCATCATGTGGAGGGACGATTTAGAAAAGGCAACGGAAGAAGGCATCCAGAAAGTATTTCATTGCTTTCCAAAGGACAGTGCCCATATAGCTCAGATAACTAGATGTTAGATGAGATCTAGCCTGTAGTGTGGTTTGTGGCCCAGACGCTAAACCTGATGTACTCTCATGAATAGAAAAAATTTTTGAAAGTATTACAATAACAGTAATTTAACAAAATTGTCGCTTGGAAGTCTCAGTATACAGAAGTCAGAACTATTCATATTTGCAGGAAATGTCACACATAAGATAAATTTAGGGGATGGAGGTTTTTTTTTCCCCAAGCACTTCAGATTAGAATGCCACATTATGTTACATACTGGAACAGAATTATAAATCCTAGACTATTCCATTTTAGGTTATTTGTGATACACACTAGCAAAGCCTAACTCAGCCCAGTAGGTTTGGTGTGTGTAAGCTATTAGATTTGCCAGTATTTTCTTCTGGTTTAGGTACAAAATTTTATATCTTTCAGTCAACCTAATATTTGAGGTGAGTTCTGGCTGACCAGCTCTTAGAAGAACAGAACAAGGACGTAAACCAAACGCCAAGTCTACATTGTCTTTTGCTATGCAAAGCAGCACGATTTAAGTATTAACTAAGGACATACATTACCTGCATACTCAGGACTTATATATGTATTTAGAGAGAGTTTCAGCTCAGACTTATTTGCATTTCCAAAGCATTGCACAATAAAAAAGCCAAGAGACTTGATAGTACAGTCTCCATCTCATGTCACTTACATTACCATACATATGATGACATGGAATGCTTAACAGTTCACTGACTTGTAACTAGGTGGGGTTTTTTGTGCAGCTTATCACTAGTGGTTTCTAGTGTAACTGCTCACATATATGGGTTGAAAGCAACTTAAAAAACATGCAAAATTATGCAAAGCTTATTACTAGAAACATGAGAACAATAATTTGTTGCTAAGCAGTAGTCATCATCATCATCATCATCATCATAGACTGGCCTAGGCTGGAAGGGACCTTAGAGATCATTTAATCCAACCTCCCTGTCATGGGCAGAGGCATCTGCCATACCTTGTTTACAATGTCAGGTTATTTTCTTTCCATCAGTATCATACAATGTCAGTTTAAAGTCCAGACATCAAGAACTGCTATTTTGCCAATAAATTCTAGAATAATGTATATTTTACAGTGTTTGGATATAAAGAGTAAGCACAATCCAGAAACCTTACATGATACTCATTAAAATTACAAGTTCTGGTTTATTTATGTTCAGGTTTAAAGGTCATGAGTATATAATTCAGTGGTTGTGGTACTATGTAATTTTTTCCTTCACATTCTTTCATGTCTCCTTTAATGGGAGAGGCACAGCCATTAGGATGACACATGTCACCACACCTGCCAGGTATTTGAGTTCTTATCCACTTCCTTCCTCCTCTACCCCCCTTTTTCACTTGTTCTATAAACTAGAGTCACCACTGAAGTGATCTGTTGGGTTTGTTTATATTTTTTATATTTATGTATTTTGTAAGAGTTACATGGTATGATAATATTTGTGAGACATCCAGGTGTATAAATCAAGTTAAGTGAAAGAATTTCAGGCCTTAAGAATGGTCAAATAATATACTTTGTACAGGTCTGGTATCTGTTCCTTGATTAGCATTAAAAGCAGATACAGTGTGATCCAGTGGTTTTTGCTGATCTCATTAGAGAGATTTTCCTGATGTCCAGGCTTCTTGTGTCAGTCTTTCATATTTTTTTTTCCCAGGTCCTCTAAGTTCCTTCCCTTCCTCTTTGAGGAAAGTATAGTTATTTAGCCTAGGGAAGACTAAGAAAGAGAATTTCCAATTTCAAGTGTTTAACAGTCATTTTTTTGGGAAAAAAGCAGTTTTGCACTCATGATTCTTTCAGTTTTCTGCCTGGACATTAGTTGTCGTGTAAACCTAAAAATAAAGCACAATTCTCTTGCTAAAGCATTGCTAGAGTTAAAGGATTTATTTTGTGGGTCTTGCAAGCAATACTTCTATGTTTACTTCGGTGTTTCTACACCCAAGCACCCCAACCGGTATTTTAGATTAGAAGCAGCAGATGTGACCTGTGCAGAGTCATAGGTACATTCTCTGCTCTTCCCCCTTCTGGTTTTCATCTTGGTGGAAGGAAGCTATTCGTTATCCTCGTGGTGAGGAGTAACATTGCTTCCAAGTGCAAGAACACTGAGTCAGCATCTCTTTTAAGCTCAAAGGCAAGTCATGCCTGAGCAACTGGATTGCCTTCTCCTCCAGAGTCCATCATTTCATCAGAGGGAAGAGCAGTGGATGCCATTTACCTTGACTTAACCAGGGATTCTGATACAGTCTCTGGTAATATTCTTCTGGCCAAAACGGACAGGTACGGACTGTGACCCGGCTGGAAAAACTGGCTGGAAAATCAGGACTGAAGAGTAGTGATCAGTGTTTTGAAGTCTAATAGGTGGTCCCTTCTTTTCTGAAAATGTGTGCGTATTTACCTGGAGAGAGGCTGTAACAGTAGGAGAGAGCCTGAGCTTGGGTATCATTAAGAGTCTCTGGCATGCAGCAGGTATCATTCCTGTAAAGAGTGTTGCAAGGTACAGAAACTTTTGGGTAATGAAACCTGAAACAATGTTCTTTAACTTTGAAATTCTGATACTTTTAAATACTACACTTGACATGTTTGTGTTCTGGCTGTTTCATTTTACAGACCCGGTCTTTGCTGGGAGTATTTGAAGAAGATGCTGCTGCAATTTCCAATTACGTTAATCAGTTATTTCAAGCCATGCACAGAATATATGATGCACAGGTAGTGTAGTGAAACACTGGAATGCGTTATAAAGTTTTTGAGCCACATTTCACATCTCTTGCTTTTTTTGAAAGTATTGTAAGTAATATTTTTTTAAAACTTCCAAATTCATGGAAGTGAAATGTAATAAGAACTAAGTTATTTTTTTCCTGTATTTAGGGAGTGGTAAAGACTAAATTCTTGTGAATTCTTTTGCAACCCAATTTCTTACAGCAAGTAAAAAGATTTTCTGGTCTTGTAGTAGTTCTGTTCCCAAGTGTTTCTAAGATGTTTCCCGTCATGATCTTAGTATGTAAAATAGTGTGCAACAAGTGGGAGATTATTTTTTACTCAGAATATATTTATGTTGCACTCATTATCTATAAGTAACTGCCCTTACATGCCAAAGGCAGAGTCTAGTTTGTTTGCTATTTTTACTGATTTATTATTCTTGCTTTTCATATTTTTGTTTTACCATTGTTTTTACTTTAATGACTAGTGTGTTTCTGTAGGTTTGCTGCCATGCACTTTTATTTTACTGCCTTTCTATTTAGCTTTTAATTTTTGTGCTTTCTCATTCAACTGCATCATGAAAGATGAAGTAGTTCCATACCATGAATCTGCTAATTAGTTTCTGTCTGCGTACAGATACAGAGCAGTTTGTAACCATGTAACACTGAGGTTCACTGTAATAGTTTCGTTTCTCTACAGATTCCTAGTACTCAGTAACTAGGGCAGTTAATTTGAAATAATTAAATGCAAATATGCACTGCATAATGTTGAAAACCACAGAAATCAGTGCACATAGTATAGGCTGTGAACTTTGTCTTTGTAAACACTGCTTACCTGCAATTCTCAATAATGTTACACAAATGGAAGGGCAGGGTGCTTAGATTTTCTGAAAACCTGTAGTCAGATTTTAAGATTCATATCTATAATAGTTTCCTCTTCAAATATGTGACTTTTAAAATACTGATTTAAATAAAATTAACAAGCTTGATTTTTTTTTTTCCCTCCCCTGAAAATCAGAATGAATTAAGTGCAGCAACTCATCTGACTTCAAAGCTTCTGAAGGAATATGAGAAACAGGTACTGTGTCAATCCTTGTGTGGTCAGGGCTGTGAATTTTTGCAGTCTCCATTCAGCTCTTACTGTGAGGATAATTCCATCTCTGAAAGTGTAGACTGGAACTTTCTCATGGCTACAAACTTTATTTGTAGCCATGTTGCTGGAACCCCTTTTCTGAGATGCACATTAAAAACAGAAAGTCACTTCTTGTAAGGAAGCTGGTGCTCCCTATCCTCATTCTCTACCTAATGAGGTGAACTGGAAAAAGTACTAGTTATGATTCATTTTGGTTTGATGAATCTTTGTAGAGGTGTGAGATGACACTTTATTTTTCCTTCACGAATTATTAGTAATGAATAGGTGTGATGCAAATAGGATCAAAACCACATTGATGCCGGGAGATTAGCTTAAAAATACACAAATGATGTTTTATTTCTTTTTTGGTTATATTTTTCCCCTCCATCAAGGCATTATGGAATTAAACTCTTCTGGATGGTTTAAAAATTTCACATAATCACATAATTTAAGAGCTAGAAGTTTCAGATGAACGCCAAATATTGCTTAATTTTTGATAATTTAAAAATAATTTGCAAAGCTGGATAAAAATCTTCATAGATGGCAAGGCTGCGTATTTTGTGACTTCATTAAAATGAAATCTGTTAATTTATAAAATCATTAATTAGATGATTAATTACTCTATTTTAAAAAACATCTATTTTTGTTGGTTTTTTAAAGGAGAATTGTTTATTTATCCCTCCCCCAAATTTTCTTTCTTCACAGGACAATAAAGAAGTGTCTCAGTGTATCTTAACTATATAATATTTTCAAATAATGACATACCTAATACATTCATAGCTGTGATTAATATAGTTTTGTGAATGGCAGAAAACACTGCAGACAACCAACGTTCCCCCTTTTCTTTTCTTTTTTAGCGTTTTCCACTAGGGGGAGATGATGAAGTGATGACTTCCACTCTACAACAATTTGCAAAAGTGATAGATGAGGCAAGTGCTTGTATTTGTTTCATTTACTTGGCTAAGGTTGTCACGTATAGACTTTAACTTGCTTAATTATTCCAGGCTTCTTCAAGATGGGAGGTAAGGAAATGGCTTTCATTTGACAGTAAGGTAACACTTAGTTGTATATTGCAGCATGTATTTAAAGTTATGTAACCTGAAGATAAAGAATCATTTCAGCAAAATGAGGATAGATTGTTGGAAAAAAAAAAGTAGTTTTAACTTAATGTAGATATAGCCAAAACGTGTTACAGAACAGGAGCTAGAAAGTGTTTTTCATGAGGGTATTTGTATTGGCTGGTTTTAGATCCCTGCCTGACAAAGGAAGCCCCTGCTGTCTGTATTAGAGACAGAGACTGACTTGTGTGAACGATGATTTAGCACCATTAAGATCCGAACTAGGATTATTTCTGTGATTCCTCTCACTTTTAACACTACTTAATATTTAATATTAATTAATTAATACCTAATTATTAAGTAAGTGCTTAAACAGTGTTTTGGGAGGAAGAACACATTTGTTCTACCTCTGTAGCTTGCGAAAGGCAGGCTATGATAAATCCGAAAGAAAACTGGAGAATTAACTGGCTGGTCATGAGAATGTATGACATGATCCAGTAACTTGGAATAGAGCTGGAAAAGTAGAGACAAATGCTAAACTCTAAAGGTCTTTTATAAAATCCTAGTGATGAGATCACAAACCTAGAAAAGAATTGCTGCAAAAAGAAAGAATGTTCAAAATTATGTTTGAGTTGTACGAACCATCTTTGGGTGAAACAGATGTCAACCTATCTTGATTTAGTCTTAACACTGTTTTCCTGAAATTTCCTTCTTCTGTTGTCTTCTACAGCTCAGCTCTTGCCATGCAGTACTTTCAACGCAACTTGCGGATGCAATGATGTTTCCTATTACCCAGTTTAAAGAAAGGGATCTAAAAGGTAGAGTGCTTGAATAAATAGTGGTTTTATCAACAGCAGCAGTAACAAAAACATAGTATTTAATCTCCATAGCTCTTCTTTCACTAAATGGAATATGCCATTTATTTTTCAGCTCTCAAAAGTACACATCTCCCAGTTTAAAAAAAAAAAGTTATTTCTATTCACAAGAGTATTACAGTTGAAAAACTTTTTTTAAATTACTGTTTTAACAGAAATAGTGCCTTATGGAAGCACGTACCTTCTGTTCAAGAAGAAATTTTTGCAGTTCCTGTAAACATTAGGAAAGAATTAGGAAATAATTTTCAGATAATTTGAATTTTTTGGAAATATTTGTATATATTATCATAACATCAATATAATGGCTGGATGAAACTCAAAAGGCAGAATCCCAAAGCTGAAATACTTACTATATTAATAAGATTTAGTAAGGTGCTTCTTCAGCCTTGCTGGTAGTATAGGTGGCTTCTTACGTGCAGGCATAAGATGCCTCCAAATTTTTGTTTTTGTAATAGTTGTATTTTATTCTTCGTGGTTTGAAATAATATATGACGTGTCTGATTATAATAGATTTTACTTGAGACACCAAAGTAAGTAGCCTGATGTGGCAAATTGGCTTCAAATATAAATGATAAGAGTTAAAACTAAAAGTACTTAAATCCCTAATGTGAATATCCTAGAGCAGGTATACCTAACATATGAATGTTTCAAGTCTAAATTGAAATAAAAGTTACAGTTCTTCTCTGAGATTTCTGCTTCTTCAGGGATCTTGGAAAATACTTCTTTGGCAATAGTTAGTTGCAATTTATGGATTAAATAGATACTTGAGTATCTCAAGGCTAGTGTTACTCCTCAGAACCTGGAAAAATCTCCTCTTAATATTTCCTGAAGCAGCATCCCTGAGGCAATAATTGCAAACCACCAACAGATAGTACCTAATGGCACTGTACTTCTTTATGGACTCCATGGGCATTTTCTGTAAAGCTTTTCCATGCTTTTTGTTGTCTTTGCGTTACCGTTAATTTGAACATAGCTCTCTGCTTGTTTATGTTGCAGTATAGCACAATCAAGATCAGAGCAAGTGCTAAGTGCTGTACTTACTGTTTGCTGTTCCCTGGCACAGTGAGACTAAATAACCATCTAGAACACGATTAATTTTCGGTAGGAGGAATCACAATGTGTTTGGGGCTTTCCTTTGATGCAGAGATACTTCCCCCTCTCCCATTCCTCCACTTCCCCAACTCAGACCAGGTGACGCATTTGTATCGATGTCTTTAACTCACTCCAGTCCAGCACCTTTTTTGGTAACCTGAACAGCCACGTCAAGGATACTCAGGCCCTAAGTAGGAGCAAAATTTCCTGGCTACATAGTGCCTATGCTGAGAAGTCGGTATGGTACAAGGTGTGAATTGCCACTGTTTAGTAGAGAAACGTTGTGTGAGAAACTTTAACATATCAATGTTATGTTAATAACATCTCATTTAAATTGTGGTATGTTGTTTTGTAGAGATACTAACTCTAAAAGAAGTTTTCCAAATTGCAAGCAATGGTAAGTGTAAAATACTTAATACTTAAAATGTTATAGATATTACAAGACAACTGTGTTATTGTAGATTATTTACGGAAAACTCTTGAAGATATTTCCAAGGCTGAAAATGACTAATTAACATAGAATATTTTTCAGTGATGCTTTCCTCACTTCAGTTGTAAATCCCTGCTTTGCATACATAAAATGCGTATACAACTATTAACTCCTTTAGGACTATGCTACCAAAATCAGTAAAATAGTCAGGTGCTAGCTCATTTGTTAAGACAGGTCTGGATTAATAAACAAATTTTACCACCCTAAAATTGTTTACCTTCCTAAAATTACCTCCCTATTGTCAGAAGTTACTTTTTTTTTGCTAGCCTCTACTATATTGTCATAGAGGACATAAAGTTCTTTCTTTAAGTAAGGATTAAGTAAAGATTCTGCTTCTCTCAATGTATTTTCCTTCATTGCTTTGGAGGCAAAAAAGAATTGGAATTGGCAAAGATTTCTTACTAGAAAGTTGTCTCTACTTCTAGACGTTTCTATCTTTGAAGAATATTAGATGTTTAGGGAAATTTATAACAGTTTGGCCATATTTACATCTGGTTAGAATTTTTCTTCAGCCCAAGTATTTCTGGCAGTGAAGTAATTATAAAGAGGCAAGAATAATTCTATGACAGAACTTTGCAATCAGCTGGCTGTGCAACACACAGTGATACATAAAAAATGTTTTCTGCTCTGTTCCATAAGTCATTGATTTATCAAAATGATCATAAATTCTCTCTTGATTGCTTAGACCATGATGCTGCCATTACCAGATACAGTCGGTTGTCAAAAAGGAGGGAAAATGAAAAGGTTCGTAAAACAAAATACTTAATGTAAAGATTTTTAGAAGAGATAAGAAATAATTTTCATCTCATACATGTATTTATTATGGAAGACAACATATGGCAGATTCCACCTGAAGTTTGACAGTTTCTATTCAGTTTGCTTCAGGACAGAAAAGCAGGTTTCCACAATACTTGCCTGTCTTGTAACGCTGAAAATGCTCTATGATTAAGGTTGTGATGCTATGTTCAATTTGTTTTTCTAAAGAAATAACTGCACTTTTCAGGCAGAAAAGAATATTGTATTTGCATATATGCATATATATATGCATATATGCATAAATTAGAGAAATGGAATTGTAGGGTAAAACATACAGTTGCTGATGATGGAAGGTAGAATATTACTGTGTTGTTTTTTCCATGCTGGCTATAAAGCTGTCCAGAAGACACATGATTAATACCAAGTCTCAGACATTCCTTTTTCCCCCTTCCCCTGTTTATGTCTCTTTAGATCAAGGCTGAAGTGACAGAAGATGTATACACTTCAAGGAAGAAACAGCATCAGACTATGATGCATTATTTCTGTGCATTAAATAGTCTTCAGTACAAAAAAAAAATCGCTATGCTAGAACCTTTGCTAGGATACATGCAAGCTCAGGTAATTTCACATTCTGAGAGCTGTAGGTCTGAAAGAAGATGTACAAGTACTTCATGAGGGTTGATGTACTGAAATCCATTGCAAGACCTCTTTTGCAGTCTGAGGAAGCAAACACACCCCATCATCCTCCTCCCCGTATCCATCACTAGCTGCCACTAGTCATTTCCCATTCAGTATATGCATCTCACCATGACATTCCCTCAGTCCCATCAAAGAATCTTTTAGGGAAGTCTGGGTGACAAAACAAAAGATCTAATTTTACCCCAAAGCCCAGGTGACTAAATTTAATGCCTTGTTTAAATTTTTAGTGCTGGGTAACAATAGAAAATGCAACTCTGAAAAAGCTCTTTGGAAACACTTAATTTGTGTTTTCGAAAGTACGTCATCGGTATGGGTGGGTTTTTTTAAAAGAAAAGTCAAATCTTCCAGCATCTGACACTGCAACAGTGTCCTGAACAGAAACTGACTCCTGCATCCCGGAATCTTTGAAACTTTGCAGCTTGTATTTAAGAACTAAGCTCTGAATGATTTTTGTTACAAAGTAGATAGTGCAGCCGTTGTTCAGTTATAGGTTTTTGCTGAATCTAGAATGGGAAGGGCGGGGCCACATCCCACGGCTTCCTGTTCTGAAATTTGATGTGGCTAAACTGTGTGGCAGTTTTTCTGGAGCAATATGGAGTACAACAGTTTCTAAGATACAGGTTTTGTCAGTTCCCCCTGGCAGGTCTGCAGTTGGAGAATGGCCCTGGCTAAGTCCTCACAGGTTTCCCCTGTTCTGCTCCATTGCTTAGGTGGGAATGAGGGATGAAAACAGATTTCTCTGAGAAACTTTATCTTCCTATGGTTTCATCTATTAATTGTTAATGTAGTTTTATTAATGACTAAAATCTCCCTTTTTCTTTTTTTAAAGATAAGTTTTTTTAAAATGGGTTCAGAAAATCTTACTGAGCAATTGGAAGAATTTTTGACCAATATTGGCACAAGTGTACAGAAGTAAGTTGGTTTTGTTCAATTTTGAACTATTATAAAGACAGTTGTTTTCTATTTCTACTTATCAATACATTTTTGTTGGTAATAACACATTATTTACCGTAGTGTTCGCAGGGAAATGGAGCGTGAAGTAGAAAACATGCAACAAACTATAGAAGACTTGGAAGTAGCTAGTGATCCACTGTATTTGCCTGATCCCGATACTACAAAATTTCCCGTTCATAGAAATCTAACACGGAAAGCTGGCTATCTCAATGCAAGAAAGTAAGACTAACTTTGTTACTTAAAATTCCAGAATGTTTAATGTTGGGAAAGGAAAGCTAAAAAAAAAAAGCATGCAATACTTTTCTGAAGTCAGCTATGCTGATTTTACATACTTAGTTGAGTAAGTCACACAGGAGCTATTCTGTTTCTTTCTTTGGACTCCTTCACTTAATTAGTGTTAATTTCATTGTTACACTGACATAGTGTCATACAGGTGCAGAGCGTAGTCACCCTCATTTTAGTCTAATGCCTGAATTTTCACATCAACAAGAAAAGGTTTATGAGAGTGTAATTTTACTGGATTGTAACTGAAAACCAGCAAGATTGCATCTGACAGGATTGTTCTGTAAAGGATTATATGATTGTTCTGTTAAAGCTTTGGAACTCAGGTTACTCATACAGTATGACAAGCTTGAGATGCATAAGGCAAAACATTCTGTCTTGAATGTCCTTCTCCATTTCACGAGGTAGTCCTTTGGCCACTGGAGGGAGCCGTTGCTCTATTTATTAAAGTTTAGCTGTTGATTTTTATAGTTACTAAAAATCAGTTGTAACACTCAGATATTTCTTCTGTAATTTGTATAATAAACTCAAGGAGTTTTATAAAGAATGAAGATTACTTTTACAACAGTTAGAATAACGTACTTGCTGAATGAGGCATGATTTTCTGTAGCAGAACACAGTTGCAGCAGTTTATACTGCAGAGTGAAAAAAAAGGGAGGCTAAACTGCAAGTATTACTCATTTTTTGGTTTCAGATTGTTCCTTTTCTGCTATTCTGGGAAACAAACAAACATGCTCCAAGCAAAATTTTTGAAACTTTGTTGAATGGTATAAAATACTTGGAAAATTGAGGTACCTTATATAACTAAGCTAAGTCTTAACACAGAGTTCTTCAAAACTTAGTCTTAACGATACAAGTGTGGTGTTCAGAGGCCTCATCGATTATAATGATCCTGCATATAATCTGAATATGCATACTGTGTAAAGCAATGCTGTAAAAGCCAATCATCAAACGTGAAGTACTTATGCCTTTTTATTCTCAATTGTTTCACTTAATTTAAGAAGGCTATTATTATTTAATGTATCCTTTGCCCAGAAACAGATTTATCATGAAAGAAACAACAGAAGGAAACTAAGTTAACTTGTTAAGCTAACCTAAAACATGGAACAGGGAGAAAAGTTTTCTTCAGTGCCTGGATGGCTTGTTCCATATGATTTTCAGCTCATCTGAACTTCTAATCTACTAAGAACCTCTCTTTATCTTTTAGTAAAACAGGGCTGGTATCTTCCAGTTGGGAAAGACAGTTTTACTTCACCCAAGGTGGAAATCTCATGAGCCAGGCAAGAGGAGATGTAGCTGGGGGACTTGTCATGGATATAGACAATTGTTCTGTAATGGCTGTGGACTGTGAAGACAGACGGTACTGCTTTCAGATAACATCTTTTGATGGCAAAAAGTAAGTATTCTTACGTTATTGTTGCCTGTAGGTAATACTGGAATCACTAATTAAGAAAAAGAAAGATTGCCTGCCTTCCAGCTTGATAGATTTTGAGGGTATTTAGAAGCAAAATCTGGGAGTGAGGGTGGTGAGACACTGGCACAGAGAGGTGGTGGAAGCCCCATCCCTGGAAGTTTTTAAGGCCAGGCTGGATGGGCTCTGAGCAGCCTGATCTAGTGGGAGATGTCCCTGCCCATGGCGGGGGGGTTGGAACTAGATGATCTTTAAGGTCCCTTCCAACCCTGACAGTTCTATGAATCTATGATCTTTTTTTAATTTTGCAGTGTCTGTTTTTTTGTTTATAAACTCTATAATGTAGCTAAGTGGTATTTGAGAATGAAATTACCATACTCAGTTTACAAGCATGTATTACTGCATCTTGTGAGTGCTTAAGTATTACGTGGGCACAGTTAGAATTTTGTTCCTTTTCTATTTTCAGTTGAAATGAAAACATAGATTATTCTCTCCCCCAATTAAATGTTGACTGCACTCAGCACATACACCGAATCTTCAGCCTTTCTGCATTTGTTGTGCAATGTACAACCATGAAAATGGAGTTTCCTGTCTAAATGTAAATGTATTTGTGAGGCATTTTAAATAAACAAAGTTGTTGTTTCCATTTTCCTCTTCAGATCTTCAATCCTGCAGGCAGAGAGTAAAAAAGACTATGAAGAGGTAAGCTTATGGGGGCTCACATGGAGTCCAGTGGTCTTCTGTTGTGCAGAAGGCATACTTTCATAACAAGAGTTGGAATGCTCATTTTATGTTCTCTACGGGGTAAGAAGTGAACTTTCAACTCATTCTATCCAAAATGACAGGTTTCAAGAGGTCTTACAAAATACTGCTGTGTTTAAATCCTAGGGAAAAAAATGTAGCAATGATTGCCACCAAGTCCTTTTCAGTATTATGGAAGAAAGAAAGGGAAAAAGGAAAGAGCAGTCTCTCAGAAGAGATTAAGCTGAGAAGTAAAATACCTGAACAGAACTGGTTCTGCTTAGCTCAACCCAGGACAAGGTCAAAATAAAAAGTTTCTCTAGACTTTTTGCAAATAATAGCCTAATGCTGCAAGCTTGTACTGGTCTAACAAAAAATGTTCTAGTTATCAGAATTTATGTTTTATTTGGACAGCTTTATTTGGAAAGCTTTCTACAGCTTTCCAAAGGCTTGGACAGATGGGACAAACTGATAGATTCATTACATTCATAGCCTATGAATACACTCAGATTTTTCCAGAAACAAAGGAACATATGTAGTAGGTGATATAAAGTATTTTTTAATTAAAAAAGGTATGTGTCTTTGCATTTTTATTCAATATAGACTTTTCAATAAGAATTAGGATGGGAAGGAAAATGCTGTAAAAGCACTGTTGATTTAAAATGTATTTGGGCAAGCAGCTGGGTAAAGAAATTCAAACAAATGGTACTTGGACTCTGCATTCAAATTCCTCTGCAGTCTTTAATGTTGCATTGATATAAAATGACCTCTTAAGGTATTTGCAATGTTTTTAGCTGGGCTATGTCAGGTTGGCCCTTGTCCCTTTGGTCTGTTCAAGTTGTCTAATAGCTTAACATTGAAACATTTGTCCTCCAGTGCCTCCCTGGAGGAAGGGAATTTATAGTCAGGTGTAGCAGCTCCAGTTTGTGATTTTTCTGGCCTGCAGCTGCTGTGCTGTCTTTTAAATCACTCAGGTGACAACCCAAACAGGAAGGTGGTGGAGTTCAGTGGTGCAGTACTGGTAGTATGCGTGTAATTCAGTTAGATTTCTGTTTCAGGGAGAGGTTGAAAAGCAAAGAGCATCAGCAGATGGTTTTCCATAGCACAGGGAGAAAATAGATCTTAGCTTACTCAGTCTGCAGTGTACAGATGCAAGAAAGGAGCAAATGCCATAAAAGGCAGATGGAATCTTTATAATGTCTTGAGGAAGCAACATCATCTGCAGTCACAGAATATTGGAGTACAGAGAATCCTACTGATTTTTTTTTTTAATTCCTTAGTGTCATGATTTAAGCTTTCTTTAGTATGACTAGAATAATTTTTTTCTACTAAAATCTGGTATTGTAAAGTGCAGTATGCAGATAGTAGTGTATTTAATGACAAGCTGGGTGTGCAGAATACTGGTTTGGCTCCCTGAAGTTACAAAGAAAGTGAAAAAAGTTCTAAAACGAGCCAACTCAGGTATTTAATGAAGTTTGTTAAAAAACTAGGACAAATTAATTCTTTTTCCCCCGTCTCTTTTTCAGTGGATATGCACCATAAACAACATATCTAAACAGATATATCTGAGTGAAAACCCCGAGGTAACTTTACTAATATTTATAGTATGAGTAAAATGTTAAGACTTAAATATGCACGAAATTAAAAGGAGATCAACTGGATCTATTTGGATAGTATACGGTTAAGCTGAGTACTTCCTACAAATATAAGCTTTTTGTGAAAAGCATATGAAAAGCATATGAAAGCATACAGACCATTGTCTCCTTAATTTAAATGCTTATGCAGAAAGCATTAAAAAGATATGACTTTTAAATTTGGTATAACTTTCTGACATGTAAGATTGCCACAAGCAGTTGAGTTAATAACTTCTGTCAATTGTATATATATAAAACTAAAATATTAAAGCTTATTTTGAGGAAAACGTTTTCAGTTATTTTTGCCCATCGCTCTCTTGCAGGAAATTGCTGCCCGTGTAAATCAGTCAGCTCTGGAGGCTGTGACCCCATCTCCTTCCTTTCAGCAGAGGCACGAGAGCATGCGGCCAGCTGTGTAAGTTAATGAACTACAGGTCATTTGAACAGCACATCTCTAAAGAGAATCCTGGATAAAGTTCCAGGAAAAAAAAACATAAACCCCGAAACTTTCTATGTTCAGAACTAAATCTTTGATAGGCTAGGAGAAAATTTCTTGAACTTACCTTTTTAGCATTGTTTCGCATCCACTGTTCCAGGTAATCCAGGCTTCTGGCTGACAAGACGGTTTTATTGGTTGCACCGTATGTCTGGTTTGTTCTATGAGTTCATAATGAGACTTTCTTCTTAACGTGTCCAACTCCTGGAAGCAGACCTCAGTAGACCCGAGACATCAAGATATAGTCACATATGAAATATAATACCATTATTAATGCAAGTAGTAACTTTAACTTACCTACATTTGACTAGGAATGTAAACTCCTTTTTTGTTTACTGTACCTAGATCTTCATGTTTTTAGTTTTTCTTTTGTTTTACATCCAAGTTTTCGAATATTTATTGGTCTCCCATATGGTTTAATTTATTATCGACCAACCTGAAACTAAGATATTTTCATTGTGATTTTTTGTTTTGTTTTAGACAATCTCGTCCTCCTGCAGCTCGTACCAGCAGCACGGGGTCACTGGGATCTGACTCAGCAGCTTTATCGGCACTTTCCTTGGATTCACTGGTTGCCCCTGACACTCCAATACAATTTGATATAATATCTCCAGTTAGTGAAGATCTGCCTGGTCAAGCAAAATCTTCAGGGCAGTCAGGCAGGTAGGAAATATAGAGAGAAGGAAAAAAAAATTCCTAAAGTTAACGTTATGAACTTAAACACGAACAAGAAAACCATATTTAAGCTGCAGTTCAGAACGCCTGTTGCCTTTGCCCTGACTCATGTCACAAAATTTACAGTAGCCAGGGAAACAAAACAATATTTTTAAAACATTAATAGAGTTGTAAAAATGGCTCATATGCACTAGATTCAAGGTGCAGGTTTCTATTTAGCAGCAGCTTTTCTTGCTTTAGACAGCTAATGCTTTTTTTTACTGATTTATTTTAATCTTTTGGTTTCACAAAGTATTTTCCTTTCCTATTGCTTGCTCACCCAGCAGCCTGGGTTATTTCCTCTTGGAAACTCAAGAGAAATTTGGTAGCCCTGCCTCCAGGTGATGATGGCATACGATGACACTCTTCTTAACCTGAAAGGTGAGTGAAAATGATCTAGGCTTCTAGAGTAATCTCATATACAGACAAGTTAAAATTGTCTAAGAGCTGTTCCCAAAATATAAACCCATTTTTCTCCTACTTGTTTTTTTTGTAAACTTCCCATTCACAAATAAAAAAAAAAGGTGTAAATCATCACTGTATTTCTGGAACTACAGGATTCAGATATTAAGAAAACACATTTGCAGATTGAGCTGCTCTTATGAACAACAAAAAAAGCCAAAAAAACCTGAAAACTAATTTACATGGCTCTAGTCACAGTAATGTATTATATCCTCCTGGCCTCTAGAAAAATATTTGAATTTTCAGTTGTATCTCACAGATACAAAAGAGTTAAAATTATATATATTCAAGTATTTTTTTCTTTTTTTTGGATAGTGGTTTTTTTTAATTGGTTGATATAGCAGGATAATCTGTTGGTTAGCTAGATTCTTAAGGATATATTGATTTAAAATAGACAAACTGCATTCCAGAAAGTGGAAAAGTTAATACTTAAGCTAAATTAACGTCATCAGTTACAATTCCATACAGAAAATCATATTTTTCGTAGCAGAAATACAGAGTTGTGCCAAGTATTTTTAGTTAACCATCACTGTCAATAAACACCTGCAGTGTTTGTACAGATGGGCATCATGCTACTTGAGAATTACTAGTTATTAAAAAGCACACACTTTCCTTAGTTTCTGATACTGATGACATATTTCAATTTTGGTTTTGCCTTTTGAGAGATCCTGTGAGATTTTGCATTTACTGTTCCAGTCTAATCTTAACTGACAAGAAAAGTCTGAGCAATTGAAGAACTTCCCTGTAGTGTATTTACGAAGGTCAGCATTGAATGGGATGATTCTTGATCAAGTCCATGGTATATAAACGTTGTAGCAATGCCACCTTGGCTTGAGAGTTCAAACTAGAATAAGTTTATTACTTTAAACTAGACACCTGCTGCTTAAAAGATTTCACTGACGAAATAAAACCAGCAGTCAGTTTGACATGTAACTGAATGAGAGAGACTGAAATTTCTCTGTCTGAGTTCTGAAATTTGCTTTTGCTATTGAGCGATGGCACCTTCATTCCTGCCCTATAAAACCCATTTTCAAGTTTACTGAACCCTTGACAATAGTTTTTCAGCTACTGATTAGCCAGAGAGAAGGACTTTTTTCCTCTTCAGAAGTTTCAAATAAAATTTCCCCATTTCCCATACTCTTTTCAGCACTGCTTTACTGCCTTTGAAAACTTGGAAGCCTAGAGTATTTTCACTTTTCATTCTAACTGATAGCAATTCTGCCTTTGAGAGCCAGAAACAGCCACATTTCTCTTGACCCTCTAGGAGTAAAACCCCAGTGGTGTTTTCAGAAAGCTGCATTTGAAATAAAACCAGTGACTTTTCTTCAGGAAGTAAGCCAGCAACTGGAGACAGCTATGAGCAGCGTGGTGCTCTTGTGGAGTACTGAAAGGACTAGCTTTTGGTTGTACTTCCTGAAGCTGTTTTGTGAAATTTCATCCCCCAAAACTACACCTTTTCAAATATTAACAAAGTTTTGACTTGGGCTTAATTCAGATATGAAAAATACCACATGAGCAAAACTGTCTATGGCAGCAATAGAACAACAATATCTTTTTTTCCATACTGTGAGCCCTCAAATATAGCAATTAGTGTCTAATTCCTGATTAAATTGCTTGTCTTTATGATCTATCATACTTTATTCCTCTGGATTACAAGTCTGTGAAATCACTACATGTTCTTACTTGATGCAGCATGAGACTACTATGTTACTCATTAGCGGGTCTCATAATCTGACTCCTGGTTTAATGTTTTCATTTTTTAATAGACGCACAAATCCTTTTGGTGAATCTGGAGGCTCAAAATCTGAAACAGAAGGTAAAACAAATAATTTATTTCAATGCAAAATAAAAAGTAGAATTTGAAGACCATATTTCTATTTTGATCTATAGCTTTTCTCTTCTAATTTAACCCCAGTTTTAGAATGCTTAGTTACATTAGCAATGGATTAGATGAGTTAAATCAGGCTACTGCCGAAAAGTCTGCTTTAAAAATAATGCTTTGCATCTTTTGTATGGATTAAGTCAACTGAAAAGATGAGCAACTTGCTGGTTAGTAGCAGTACCTCTAATTCATAACGACAAGTAGTTTCGTTTGGAGTTTTCCGGATTGCAGCCCATCTTTGGTTTTAAATAGAAATTCCAAAATGGACTTCACTTTTTTCAATATTTTTCTTTGTCTTAGATTCAATTCTTCATCAGTTATTTATTGTAAGATTTCTTGGCTCTATGGAGGTGAAGTCTGATGAAAGTCCTGAAGTTGTTTATGAAACAATGCGGCAAATACTAGCAGCTCGTGCCATCCATAATGTTTTCAGAATGACAGAATCACATTTATTAGTCACTTGTGACTGTTTGAAGTAAGTTTGCTTCCTAATGTCTACTGATATTTATTTACAGAATGATCTTCTTTCACTTTAGTAAAATTTACTTTCTGGTTTGTTTTTAAAATCAAATTTTTAGGTTAATTGATCCACAGACACAAGTTACAAGACTACGAGTAAGTAACTATACATTTTAAAATACATAATTCTCCTACTTCAAAAATATTGTTATTAGATGTTAACAAAAATCACTGACAGCTTGAGATTTCCAGACAAATTTTCACTAATTTCATACATTTAAAAATAGACAGAAGGCCACTAGCAGATCCGGTTTAAGGAGAGGGTGATCTCAATAGGTCAAATAGGCTTTTGAAATCCCTCCCCTCACTTTGATAGGGTGAAATCTTAGGAAAACAAAATGCATGTAAGGTTAGGAAAAGCACATCCTGTCTGTTTACAACAGCTGTAGTAGGAGCTTTGAGATCTAAAATCTTATCCTTTGGTACATTTTAAAAAGATACATTTAAAAATTCTAAGGCCTCCTTCTTTTAGGAATAAGAATACAAAATAGTTTTACTGTAACAAACTAATGAGGATATATTGTTTGGGCTTTTGGTTTTTTTGGGGGGACGGCGACTGGGGAGTGGTGGTGGTGAGTTTGGTTTTTTATTTATTCCTTGCTTATATAAGTCAGGAAAGCTAAAGTAATTGCAGTAGAGGTTTTGGAGATGTAGTGCCTTTACCTGGCACCAAATACTGAAATCTTAGTCACAAATAAAATTTGTATGAATGGTGTCTCTAAAGAAAGTAAAAAAAGGAGTATACTCACACTTAGAAAGATGACCGAATCGCACTGCAGATGTGGTCCCTCTCCTTACACGGAGCATGTTCTTAGAAGTTTTCCTGTCTTTTGAATAATTTCATCCTTGCCTTTTAATCTACCATTTGTGCTTCGTAACTATGTTTGGTCAGGTTGCAACTTCTAGTGTGCTTGTGCATTTATGATGTTGAAGTAGTTAACGTGCAGTATAGTAAAACCTCATATAGAAAATATCTGGAACTCGTTTTAATACTTGCGTGTTTGATCCTTTTGGCAGTTTCCTTTGCCCAATGTAGTCTTATATGCTACGCACCAGGAGAATAAGCGCCTTTTTGGATTTGTGCTTAGAACTTCGGGAGGGAGAGTTGAGAGCTACCAGACTTCCATCTGCTATATATTTGAATCAAATAATGAAGGCGAAAAGGTATTGGTGGTGGTTATACTTGTTTTGAACCTGATGTGGCTTCCAAGACATTAGAGCCATTCAAGCTGTCTGAGGGATTTCTGTGGGAGAGTATTTCATTTACGTACTGGAAAAACAGTTAAATTTGACAGTGCAAGTACCTGCAAGTGTTTTAATATGCTATTATATCTAATTTGGGAATCTGGCTGAATTTTAAAGGCATTTTTTTTAGAGTATTTTTGATTAACTCCAATCTGTTTTGTGTTTAGATTTGTGACTCTGTTGGACTGGCAAAACAGATAGCTTTTCATGCAGAACTGGTAAGAATCTCTTTGGGGCAAAGGATATTGTGAATGAAAGGGAGAAGGGTATATTTAACACGCGTAATAGAATATATTCTGCAAGATGCTTATAGATGCAGTAATACTGTTGTGCTGTATTTTAAGGGATTTGTTTTCTAGAATTTAAACCCGAGATAAAAAGACTTACTGCTGTCTACTGTGAAACAATATTCAAGATAGAATTCACCTTGCTACCTTTAACAAGCATATCATTTCTTTAAAAGAAGAATAATCAAAACAGTGGTGTAACAGTTTTGCACAAACTCACATTATTTGGCCACATATCAAACATCTCAGACTTACTTTATTTGTATTTTGGCCCTTTAGGATCGAAAAGCATCAGAAAAGCAGAAAGAAATAGATAGAGTCAAAGAGAAACAACAAAAAGAACTGAATAAACAAAAACAAATTGAAAAGGTACAGTTCATCCTTATTTCTTAATAATATTTTTTTTCCTACTTACTTTCATTTGCATTTCTGTAGTCCAAGTGCAGATTTTTTTTTTTTGCATAGTAGTTTTTAAAAAGAGCTCTTCAGAGGAGATAAACCACAAAACATCTTTATAGGAAGATGTAAGAGCAGAGCTTCCAGGAACACCTGTCATAGGCCCAAAATCATCTCATTTGCTGATGAAGATTTAGCTACACAGAGAGGAAGGGGAGTGGGCTCTAGATGAAGACACTTGTGATCTGCTGTGTTTTGTGGGTTATAGGTACCTGGTGTGTTCAGGGCTTAGCTGTTCTAATAATGCCAACTACTGCAATAGAAATATTTTGGTTTCCTATTCAGTCTTTTCATTCTCTCTGTACAGAAGACTGTCCATTGATAGTATTAAAAGAGAGTTCAGGAATCATAATAATAGCATCCTGTTTCAATTGTACATGGCATTAAAGTTAACATTCTTTTTCTGATGCCCACTCCTCTCCTTTTCAAATTAGGACTTAGAGGAGCAAAGCCGGTTGATCGCTGCTTCCAGTAGATCGAACCAGAGCAGTGGAGAAGGACAATTTGTAGTCCTTAGCAGTAGCCAGTCGGAAGACAGTGATTTAGGAGAAGATGGAAAGAAGAAGAGAGAATCTGAAGCCTAAGGCTGACTGCTTTAACATTGGAATCATGGAAATACCTGGTGAAATGGCACAAGTTCTACAAGAAGCAAAATGTAGGTGGAGGGTCTGTTGTATTATATAAAAGACTTCACAATACGTAGACCCTATTATGCCTTGATTTTTCTCTCTCAATTAAGTGATTTCCATTTTCATGTCAGTATAATTTCTCTTCTGTATGCCAGAGGAAGCATGGTGATGCTACCACATTTATGACTTTTACCACATTTATGTTTTCTCAAGGCTTCTCCGCAGTCTGGAAAAAGCTGTGGGTTTGGATTTTTCCCGCTTACGTCTCTGTGCAATTGTCATGAAGCAAAACCTAAAACTCACTGGACTTCCGCAGTACATTGAAATTTGTTCTTAACACTGCGGTATGGAGTGCACCTTGCTGGGAACAAAAGTGGATATCCAAATAAGACAGTGCTAAGCTTTACCTAATTTGCTGCACACAACTGTTCATAGATTTAGAAAGAAGAATCCTTATTAACATCAGTGAGATGTGCAATAGTTCTAGACAGAAAGATGTTATTTTTTGTTTCATATTGCACTGTATGATAGAGTCTTGATTTCTTTTGGTGAATATAATGCTGAAGGATTCGTTTCAACAGGAGAAAAAAAAATAGAGCTAGATAAGAGCTAATGAGACGAAGTTGCACTTTGCTGCATGAGGAATGTATAAAGCATTCCTTATCAAATGATAAGAATAATGTATATATTCTTGTAGCACAAGTGCCATGTTCTTGTTTTCTTCCCCCATACATGTAATAAAAAGCTGTAAGCCTTTGAGTTAATTTTTTCATAAAACATGCTTAGAGTTGCAGGAACATTTTAAATTCTATAATTTGAAAAATCTTCTGAATATGTACACTATGTAGACTGAAAAGGAGTTTAGGCTCTTTCAGTCTTTTTTAATGGAAACTGATTTAGCAAATGAAATTTACTAGCTGTGAATTAAGAGAGTATGCTAATCTTACATCCTAGAGTCAATCCCATAAAGCATTTTTCAAAGCAGTGTCTGTTTACAGCTTATAATCTGAACTCCATGTTCCATACCCTGTGTTGTATTTATTTTGTGTAGTACTAACTGTGCATTCACCTTTTGATCCAGAAGAGAAAATTTGTTTGAAGAGAAATATTTATTTTTGCACTAATTACTATAAATACTAAAACCCAGTGAAACAGAAGATATCTATTAGTGGCATGAAAGTAACAGGAAATGTAGGAAGAGAAGAATATACTTATACTCCAAGTTATAACAGTTATGAGTGTTTCACAGTTCATTGCAGGGCATTTCTGGTGTTCAGGAATGGAAGCAATTTTCAGCTGGTGATGGGCTGGTCCCTGCATGGTGGGCGTTGCTCACTGCAGATAAAGGAAGTGAGGAATCTCAGGACCTCTCTCTGCCAGCTGGCTGTAGGTGCACAGAGGGCTCGGTGTCCTCCACTTTCCTCATGCCCTGGAGTGGCCCTGGCTGCTCCTCACTTTTATGCTGGAGGCGTGAATTTCAGTGCACAAGTCCACTGCATCTGGCTCTTGTTCCAGGAGAAAAAGGGGAGCAGCACCTGGGCAGGACTGGTGGTGTCTGCTGCTCTGGGGCTGATGTTCCTGGCAGCACAGCCGATGGAGGGGCTGGCGCAGCCTCGGAGGGGGCACTGTGCCCCTGCCTTACAAGGAGAGCTAGAGGTGGGGAGGCTGAACAGCAGAGAGCTTCCACGTTCTCTTCCTGAGTTAGCAACTCCTGTCCCAGCACATTTTTCATCCCCAGAGTAGCCAGTCACTTGCAGAAATAGCTGCTTTTGCTGTTGCCCGGTCAGGCCCAAATGGCATCGCCCTGTGGCCAAATTTGACTAGCACACAGTCACGTGGACCATCCAAATCTGAGTTGGGGTTTTTTTCCTAAAGAATGTCATTTTTATTTCTTACATAGGCATCTATTCTCAACTCTCATCCTTAAGAGACTGTTTTTATCCTTGCCAACAAAAATGTACAGAGAGACAGCAAATCCAATTTTTTTTCCTACATCTACGCCTATAGATAGTTGCATGGCAGACAGTTTTTCTCTGCTAATTGTTGCAGTTCCTGTTTTCTTTCTTTGTTTTTTCCCCGTTTGTTTTGTCTTGCTAATATTTGTTTTCTATCAAACTATATGACAGCGTAGCTCAAAGGTTGCTATGTCTTACTGTATCTTCCTCAATACATGCTGAAGATGAAGTAGTTTTGAAACAGCACAGAAAAAATATGAAATTGGTGGTCTCCAGTTTCTAGAATCTAGTTCTCTAGCTTGTCACAGTAGGACTGGTGTTCACTGGTTTAGCTGCAGTAGCCCAAGCACCACAGGGAAGCCAGCTACTATATTAGCCATCTCATCAAAAAGCATTTCTGATGTGTAGCCTGTTTTGCATTAGCCTTATTGAAGAAAGGTCAGAAAATTTAATCTACCGTTACTGCTTTAGACATAAATCTGCAAAGGTGAGGAAAAAAAGCAGGAAAATCAAGTTGGCAGATGAAGTTACTGTCCTGTGGGATTTCTCAGATTTAGTAATACATGACTGGAATTATTCCATTTGCTTTTCAGGTCATTATATGTGGTTTTCTGAAACAGAGAACATAGGAGTGAAGTGCATTTTGTTTGTATTAGATGATTCTCAACCACTAGAAAAAGAGGAAATGACTGAAGAGAGTGGTTAAAGAAAAAAGATGAATATGCATGAATGAAATAAGACAAAGGTTTTGCTTATTTAGGAGAGTTTCATGGTATAAAATGAGCAAGAAGATACAAAAGCATCCGGGAGAGTGATGAAAACCACAAGAGCAAAGGGCAGGTAGAAGAGATGTGGAAGTTCAAGGGGAAGGTGCAGTGAGTCAGCAGTGGGGTGAGAATCACCGAGTTTTGCTTAAGGGGAGGAGCACATGACTCTGTAATTAGAACAACCTCAAGGCAAAAAATAGCTGCTGAGGTTTTACCATACCTTCTTCCTCAAAATAAAAAAAAAATAAATATTTAGTATCTTTTTCCCAATGAGGTTTTGAACTACTTAATTGGATCTCACCACCTGAGTATTTTGCTAAGTAAATTACCAGTTGCCTCTCCTCTAATTTATTTCTTCCAGTTAATATTTCCTCTTGTCTTTCACTTACAGACTAATCTTTCAAGCACTTCCAGTGGAAGCTGTACTTTGTTTCACGCACATCTACTAGTATTTCAGACACTCCTGAAAATATTATTTCAAGTACGTGATTCTAAAGTGACTTCACATAGGTACTGAATCAGCAGCGTTGTTCAGGACTAACTTTTTAAGTTGCCAGGTGCAGCCTCATGGTTACTGCCACATTTTTTCCCTTGGGTGAAGGGATGTCAAGTTTGTTACGCTGTGTAGATTTCCACACTGCAGACCAAGCGATTCTCATGAGTTGTTCTAGGCTACATACATTTTTCATAGATGTAATGGCATGAATATCAAAATATAGAAAGTGTGCTTATGGGTGTCCATTATATTGCGTTACAGATAATACCTAGCACTCCTCTATGTCCACAAATAGATTTCTCCAAGTTTAAATCAGAGGACAAGTTAAGAGTTATATATGACTTAGCCATATATATATAACGAGTTACAAACCGGTAGTGTAAACTAATTTGAATTTGATAGTCTGTTACTTCCATAATCTGTTTAGGTTTGAAATTGTAATCAAGATGATTTACAATCTAACAGCAAAGTAATATTTAAGAGTTAAGGAACATTTCACCTCTACAATTCTGTCAGATTGTATCTTTATGTGGATATAAACCCAGAGCTGAAAATCCTGAAACAGCTGAAGCTATTTATGAAGATAGAATTTACATACATTGATATCAAGAAGCAAGTTTGACTGTGCATATGTTTAAGTAGATTCTGATTAATTAGCACAGAATTTAGGAGAAGCCAATGAAGATAACTATTTTACAATATAATCTCTTGTTATTTCGGAAAGAATTCACATAGAGAAAGAAAACCTGCCTCTGTTTAGTGACTTTAGTAGAGATATTATCTAGTCTAACAGCAAGAGCTGATATTTTATATTATTTCTGTTGCTCTACTTTACAAAATTTCTTGGAAGTCAATTAGTCTCCAAGGCTTTTCTTTTTAACCAAGCTGATTTTAACCAAGTCGATTTTTTTTTTGTTCCCTGCCAAAGTGATATCTAAGCTGTCATGACAAGAGTAAGTCAGTGTGTCATTGTGAATGCACTTGTATTCCTAATGATGTTTATATTGCAAGCCAAGGATTTTGTACAATCTTTCAGGTAATTTTTATAATACGGTGGAGTGGTCAAACTCTTATGATGATGTTCTGGATTGGTCCTGTTCAAGTGACATATAAGTGATTTTTGCCATGTTTGAAACTGCCTCGCACATTTTCCCTGAATAGCTGTATTAAAAACCTCCAGTGGCATACTTCCATCAACTTTGATTGTTGTATCTCAATCTTGGAAATATGGATAGTAAACATATTATGCCAGGGTTTCAATCAGCATTTTGTACATTAAAAGCTTAACTATAGTACTTTCTGGGTGGGATTTGTACCGATGCAAAAACCTCCTGCATTTTTCATAACACTGACTTTCAGGAAGTACCATAATTAGTGACAGGATGCATTCCCTTCATTAACCAACATTCTAACATGCAGTTATATTCCTTCCTGTTGGCAAAGTGTATCTCAATTCTCTTAATTTTAGCCAGAAAACCTCAGAGAAACTTATTGTACTTGGGAATGCTGATAACTTACTTTTACAACAATCAAAGACTGAGCATTATAAGGAGAAAATCCTTACCATGGTCGCTGGCTGTACAGTGCACACGTTGTAGTCACAGGCCAACGTGCAGCACTGCAGGGCTGTGGTTACGCTGATGATCAGAATTCACATGTACAGAGGCTATACCAGCACAACCATTAACCTGGGTACCAATACGTGTCTTCACGGGCTTCATTAGTTTATTGTATGGT